AGTTCTGACTTCCTTCTCAGTTTCTCAATGACAACGACATACTCATGGATAATAAGACCAACTATAATAACACTAACAAGGGCTTTGCCTTTGAGACAGAAGCTGGGCCTTTCTTTCCTTTTGAGTTCCCCAACGCCTTTGCATGTTGTGGATCTCCATTGGCTCTCAACTCCTCGGTTGAGCCGGTCGTGGGTTCCACTGAGACTGAGAGTGATGAGGAGGACTACTTGGTTGGGTTAACTACACGGATGCTCATTCCATGTTGCGTGATGAAGAGAAATCTACTGCTGCTTATTTTGCTACCTACAACCATAAAGACATGGGCAATAGCTGGTATCCCTGCAATCAACATTGTGGGCAGTTGAAAGCTGGTCATCTGCAGTGGGTAGGGGTGTCAATAGACTAGTTTTGGATTGGATCTAATATTATCCAAACCTTATCAAATTGGATTTGGATAGTCCATTATATTTATTGGATTGGGCCAATCCAAAATAAAATGGTCGATCAAAATTGAAATTGAAAAACACTTTTATAAAAGCACTTTTGTAAAAGTAATTTTATGAAAAGTACTTTTTCGAAAGCACTTTAATGAAATCACTTTTACAAAAGAAATTTTATAGAAGTACTTTTATAAAAGCACTTTTACGAAAGTACTTTTACGAAAGTACTTTTATGGAAGTACTTTTACAAAAGCACTTTTGTGGAAGTACTTTTATAAACACTTTTACAAAAGCACTTTTATGGAAGTACCTCTATATAAGCACTTTATCGAAAGCACTTTTATGAAAGCACTTTTATGGAAGTACTTCTATATAAGCACTTTTACAAAAGCACTTTTAAGAAAGAACTTTTATGAAAGCACTTTTACAAAAGCAGTTTTATGAAAGTACTTTTATAAAAGCACTTCTACGAAAGTACTTTTATAAAAGTACTTTTGCGAAAGCACTTTTAAAAGCAAGGTTTTTAAAACCAACTTGGAGAACAAACCAGTCAGGGGAACGGTTCCCGAGTCGAATGATCCAACCGTTCGGGAGTACAGGGTATAGGGTACTAATCGGGAGTTTTCCCTATTTTTAATGATGCCCTGATGATTAGTTAGGGACAATTTTGTAACTTTATGTGTTAAACGTTTGGATCAATGGCAAAAGGGAGGTTTTTGTTGAGTTCTTTAAAAATCTAAGGGAGGTTTTTGTTAAAGTGAAACTAAAAGGGAGGTTTTTATGATTGTTAGAAACTTCAGGGGAGGTTTTTCTATTTTATCCTATTTTTATTAATACTTAATTAATTAATTATTAACTAATTAATATTTACTATGAATTAATTAATAACTTATGTTTTGTATCGTTAATTATTTTTAATTATTCAAAATTTTTATTATTTATTTATTTATTACGTAAATTATAAATATAGTAATTAATAAATTATTGTATAATTACTTAACTAATTAATAATTAACTACTTTTGTGTTAATTATTAACTAATAAATAATACATTTAATTATTTGGTATTTTACTATCCATTAATAATTAGATATTAATTATTATAATTAATTAATATTTTAATTTTTATTAATAATTTGGTAATTAGTTGCTTTTTATTATTAATTAATTATTAAATATTTTTATTCATTAATTTTATAATTAATTAGTTAATGAATGAATAATGATAATTAGTTAATATCTATTATGATTTAATTAATAATTTTTATTTTGTATTACTAGTTCTTTTTAATTAGCTAAAATTTTTATTACTTAACTATTTAAGTAAATTAATAATAAGATAATACTTAATTACTTAACTATTAACTATTTTTTGTTATTTATTAATTAACTAATAATATTGTTTATTATTTATTATTTATTATTTTATTATATTCCTTCATATTTATTAGTTACTTATAATTAAATTATTTTATTATTGTGTTGTTAAATAATTAATAATTTATTAATGGCTCATAGATCTAATATTAACTCTTAAAAGCATTACAAGGAAGGTGTTTTTTCCTGTTAACAAGCTCCCTCTCCTTTCCCACATCCCACCAAAATAATGGGATTCTACATCCCAAAAGTTGAGATGTATAATCCCACCTTTTTCCTATAGGCCTCATGACATCCCACAAACCAAACATGTGAAAGGAAAAATATTTGAGAGTATTTCGTATTTTCCCTTCTCATCCCACAAAGCAAATTGGCCTAATAGATTTATTGGGTAAACTCCAAAAACACCTAGGGTTTTAAGTTTTAACTGTTCAGTCCTCCCCTAGAAATCTTAGCTCCACCCTAGGGGTGGAATGAATCCTGACCGTGGATTGATACCAAATTCACAAGGTAGGATGTAGTTTATAGGGGGCTACTAGTAGACTAGGAGGTAGGGGTGATCATGGGCCAGGTCGGGCTTTGCACTTATGATAAAGATTATAGCTTAGGCCCGGGCCCGGCCCGGCCCAGGGTTGCGGGCCTGAAACATAAGCCCTAGCCCAGGTCTATACGGGCTCGGGCTAGGCCGGGCCTGATTCTGGGCCAATGTCTTTCATATATATAAAACATTACATATCTATAATATTTTATATTAAATGACATAACATGCATATAAACTTATTTTATACATTATATAATATAAAATATTACATATAATATAAATTATACATGTCATATTATAATATTTATATATAAAATATATAATATAATGTAAAATATCTTGTATACATATATATACATAATACACAAAGTGTGTAAGTTTAAATATATGTGGGCCAGGTCGAGCCCGGATCGGACTTGAAGTATTAAACGCAAGCCCAGCCCTAAAATTTGCAGGCCTGATATGGGCCCGGACTGGACCAGACTGAAATAATCACCCTTAATAGGTGGTGACTGTAATTTCAGATTTCTAAGGGGAGTACAATCTACTTATCCCAAAACACCCAAAGTAGGTGTGATCATTTTTAGCCCATCCAATAAGTCAGGGCTTGACATAGGTTTTGTAATTAGGCCTTGCCCAGTCCTAGGTCCAAGCTCGCATCTGCAAATTTCTTTCCGGTTCGGGTTGAAAGCTTTCGGAGAGATTCGTTCTTCATTTTTCAAATAATTTTTAATCAAATTACAGTATTTCATCGCTAAAATGTTCATTTTTTTTTTTAAGGTAAGGTAACTTTATTAAATAGCACATAAAATACAAAGGGCCCGAGTGAAAGGACTACAGACCAGGCCTAAAAGCCCTACAATTACAAATCGAACAGACTAGTAGACCTCAACTGGGTGCCCAGCACCCTGACCTACAGACCCTTAGCTGCTACAGTCCAAGAGACCAGTTTGCTAAATGGTTCATATTTGCTTACTTAATTATACATACATGTGCGAATTATTTTATTATATATATATATAAATATTATAATATGATACGTATAATGTTATATAGAGCGATTATATATAATGTTTTTATTACATAATGTATAAAATAATTTCTATACACATTATATATAAAATCTCATATCTAAATTAGGCCCGACCCATCCCATGATCTCCCCTACCCCAAACTACTAAGATGCGTTAATGTCACTTTATATTCGAACTATGAAAAGTTGCAGATATCCCAAACTTTGACGTGCCATTCAAAGAACTACATCTGTTAAAATTTCATTAGCAGGAAGGACAGAAAATATTCTGCACTAGGGTCTAGAGGAGCAATTTGAATGGGCCCAACGAGAGCCCAAACTAATCCAATTCATAATTTTACATGGATTAGACTTTGGATTTTTGGTCTTTGGGTTGGGTTTAGACCCAAAAGTTTGGTTTTTTTTTTTTACTTTTCGGGCTAAAAGAGTGTTCTTACATCAATTTTAGTTACATTAATTCTGTTCATATATAACTTTTTACAAATCACTACAGTTATTAAAAACATCCTTACGTACTACTCAATGGACCAACGATTACATCAGTAGAGTTATTTCTAGGGCAGAAAACGAGATTGGATACAATCCTCACAAAATTTGTTCACACCATCCTCATAACAATCGCAGCCATGCATTGGGTTCATGGGAAGATGTTCCCAATGCACAACTTGAAGTGTTGTGAAAATAGTGTGAGGACAAAATCCGGATTTGTGGAAAACATATCGAATCCAATTGGATATACCTGCATCTAAATTTATATATATATATAATAGAACATTATGACGTTGAATAGCATTGATAAATTAAACCAAAAATGATGAAAATATTTATATTATAAATAAAAATTGGCTTTGATATCCATGAACACATTAAGAAGGCCAAATCAAAGTTTAAAATTTCATAAAACCATAAAATAAGTAAATCTTAGAGGAGGAATAGAAGTAGAAGCCGAGAGAGAGAGAGAGAGAGAGAGAGCAAAGTCCTTGTTTCAATGGACCTTTATTTCAGTGAAAGAAAAAAAAAGAAAGAAAATTATATGCATGTTATAGATGTGAATTGTATCAAGGTGCTTCAATCATCATCATCATCCAAAGCCTTATCACAACTATATGGGGTGTTGGCATGAATTCGATATTTCACCATTGCATTCTGTTTAACTTTATATCCATTGTTAAACTATGAACATTTAAATCATCTCTTACTATTTCAACCCATGTCCTTTTTGATTTACCCCTAATCTTTCTAGTCCTTTCAACTTGCAACTATCAAGATGCATCAAGCATTCAACAATTTAGTCCATGAAACTTTCAAACATGTCTGTTGTCAACTAGTTGCATCATCAGATAGCTAGTGTCATGTTAGATATCTCGCATTTCTAATCTTAGGAGGTTGGGATCTTTATCGAGGCAGAGGGGTGATGATCAGTGATGCTGGTTAAGGCGAGTCTTAACAGACCCACACCCCCGGCCCACATTTTTTGCCCGTATATTTAAGGGGGCTGGTTTTTTTATTTTGGTTTAGAATTATGGCTTATGATCAATTAGATTGTTGTTGCTTCTTTAATGGAAACTTTGCTATTTGAAATCCTATCTGCAACAGTTAGGGCTTCAGGCATTTAAAATGTCTTTATTTCTCTTTCTAAATAGATTGTCACTATTACAAGAGCATTAAATGTTATTAGAAGTTAAAGACAACTACAAAGGTGTGAAACATAAGAATATACAAAAAAAAAAACACTTTAAAAGCAAAATTATATCATGCCTTTTGAAAGTGGCACTTCTAGGTTCAATCGAGGTGCAAGCTAGGCGTGCGTGCCTTTTAGAACACTTTTAATACTTCAGCTACAAATATGATGAAACACCATTTCTTCCAAAGAGCTTTTCCTCACAAGAAATGGCTTTCCCCTAATTCTTGTCAAGTAGAGGTCTCTTCTCTTTTCTTCTCTTGGTTTCTCCATGTTAAGGGAGACTTTCAGAGCCTGTTTTAGTCTGTAGAAAGGACAAGTAGGTGTATCAAAAATAGGAGTAAACCTTCCAAGACTGAAACTAAAATATTCAAATAATTTAAAATTCCTTAGTATGGGAATCTAAAGAAAAAATTGATTCTTCCCTTAAAGACCTTGCCCACTCTAATCATGTTTCTTGAAACTGAACCATAGGTTTTGAAGAGAAATCAAGGCCCTCTCTTGACTCTTTTACTTTCTTAAGCCATGTGAATGAATATGTAAAAGATCTTATCAAACTAAATCACTGCCTGTTGGCACTACCATTATAACTACATAGCCGCAACAGCACAGCCTCAGAAAACTCGAAATTCACCCTCCTCTTCCATGTCCGGTGAGTGCATCCTTGCTGTTGTTACCCCAAATGACACACTGACCCACTAACATATGAAAAAATAAAAATTGCCTCCATGGTCTACTACCTTATTATTCACACGACCAGGACACTTTCATTTGACCCTCCAATGAACAAGCATGTTATCAATCAAAAGAAAAACTAAATCACTAAATGAGTGTATGCTTGGGTGATTTGGTTTCAATCAGTTTACATGTTCACAATACTTTCTTGTAAGACTACAATTAAACATAAACATGCTAGCAATCAAATGAAAAATCATATCACTCAATGAGTGCATGCCTTTTTCCCACCTCAAATCATATAAAAACAACCCACTAACATATGAAAACATAGAGAATGTCTCTAAGGTCAACTACCTTACTATGACAATCATGATATGCCAAGGTACCCTAACATATGCTGTGATGTGTTCACATGGTCACAATACTTTCTTGTGGTCTTCCAATAAAACATTAACATGCTATCAACCAAATAACCCAGTGAGTGCATGCTTGTGTGATTTGATTTCGATGAGTTTACATGGTTACAACACTTTCTTGTGACCCTTCAATAAAGTCACAAACAGCTAATAATCAAATTTTAAACCAAATCACCTTGTGAGTGAATGCCTATATGATTTGATTTTGATTAGTCCACATGGTCACAACACTTTTTTGCAACCCTCAAATAAAACATAGACATCCTGTAAATCAAATGAAAGATAAAGTTACCTAGTGTTTGCATGCTTTTTAGTGTTACCTGAAGTGATACATGAACTACTCGCTATCATATAATAAAATGGGGACTACCTCTAGAATCCACTACCTTACTAAGACTATCAAAAAGCATGGTTACAACACTTTCTTGTGACTCTTCAATAAGTCACAAACATGCTAATGATCAAATTTTAAACCAAATCACCTTGTGAGTGAATACCTAGATGATTTGATTTGTAGTCCACATGGTCACAACACTTTTTTTGAACCCTCAAATAAAACATAGACTGATAGACATTCAGTGAATCAGATGAAAGACGAAATTACCTAGTGATTGCATGCTTTTTGGTGCTACCCCAAGTGATGCATGAACTACCTTACTAAGAATATCAAGAAATACAAAGGTAGCCTAACATGTGGAACGTTAAATTCACATATCCAAAACACACTTGTGGCCTATAAAAAAACCAGTCATGCATAAATCAAATTACCCAGTAAGTGCATGCCTTGCATGCCTGGGTGATTTGGCTTTCATGAGTTCACAATCACAATTTTTGCAACCACCAATAAAACACAAACATGTTGCTATCAATCAAATGAAGAAACAAATAACCTGGCAAAGGCATGTCTCTTTTTTTCGGAACAGGTAAAGTATTGTATTGTAATGAGATATGAGTAAAAACCAATAACAACAGCCCATGTACGATGAGAGCCTGTACATTGGGAATTTACAAAAAGATTCAATGCAAAAATGAAAAAAGCTGGACACCCTTGAAAGCCCTTTGTACACTTACCCAGGAACATAAAAAGCCTATAACCTTGTTTTTAACTGAAGCTACATCAGAACAATTGTTATCAAAGATTTGGCTGTTGCTTTCCTTCCAGAGAGCCCACATGGCACAGGATGGCAGATGGAAAACTCCTCTAAAGCAGTTTGCCCCTAGCACTCAAACCCTTGAGGGTTAGAACCACCCTTGCAGAAGTTGGAGGACTGATTCAGATAGGCAGGACTGAACACCAAAGCATGACAAAGCCATTTCCCACAGTTGGGAAGAAAAACTGCAATGGATAAAAAGGTGAATGGAGGATTCAGAAGTCTCATTGCACAAGGGGCCCAAGATATTAGGAAGATGCATCCCCCTTCTGAGCAGCCAATCAGTGGTAAGGCATTTACCAAGCACCACAGTCCAAACCAGGGAGGCAACCTTGGATGGGGCATGGGAATTCCAGATCAAAGCCCAAGGGAAATCACTGTCCTCACAAGACACCAAGTTGCTGCAGAAGGACTAAGAGGAAAACTTGTCTGAAGAGCTCCAAGACCAGATTCTTCCATCATCAGTTCGAGGATTAGGCAAAAAGCTTTGAACAAGACTTAACAGTTCAGTCAGTGGGCCGATTTCCCAATCATTGAGGTTCCTTCGAAAAGTGGGACCCCAAACAACCTCCCCATTCACAGAATCAAAGCAGTCTTCAACCACAGCGTCCTTATTGTGTGCAATATCAAAAAGAGAAGGAAACCTTTCCTGTAGAGCCAGGTTCCACACCACCGATCATGGCAGAATTTGAAGCGATTATCTTTACCTGACACCTGATGCCCTTCAAGAAATCAAGAAGAATAGAAGCTATATTTCTCCACAGAGCACAACCTTTTGGGGATCGACCAGGGCCTGAGTCCCAACCAAATGATACAACAACAACCTACTTGTTAGGTTGAAGGGTTTTATGTATTGATTGTTCGGCTGATAAGTGTTCTTATTAGCCTGTATTTGTGTTTAAGTTGTTATGTACTGGGCCTGTGTTAATGGGCCTAAGTTTATTTKGTRTTTTARGTAGTCTGGGTGTCCCATCACTAATCAGGGGCATTCCAGACATTTCCTGTAACATTGTACTGTAATCTAATATAAATGTTAGTACTGTCAACTGGGTTATGCAGTTCGACA